CTTCATTTAATCAAAAGACATGTTGTACAGGAACGATGGATTTACCTCCTATCGATAACTGTTGGAAATCCATTACGTATATTACCAATGACTTTGCTTAATTAATGGATGAGAAGTTAGGATTGTTGTTGACTAAGATTTGGTTGATTTGCCCATACAAATAACATTGTGTTCACCAGTGTCACCGGTAAGTAGGCTAGGTGCGGGTGGACTCTTTCATTACTGCGCTCATGTTCACTCATCCCGTTACGCGCAGAAAAAGCGTACTACTAGTTTATAAAGGAATTCTGCACACTCACAGGAAAATAGCTTTACAACACCATCACCAACAGTATGTGTAGATCAGATTTACCCCTGCGATTCACACGAGCCAAGAAAAGAGGTTTTAAAGAAACATGCTAATATATAGATGACAAAAAATTATAAATATTTCTCCAGAAAAGACACATTAAATTGTCTTTTAAAGACACCATTATGATTATGATACACACCGTCTTCCATTAGGGTGCCTTGTTATTCTGAACGCAACCAATAGTACACCTCAGTAAGGCAAGTAGTATTTGACAAGTACAGGGAATTGTGCAACTGGCTTTTGCAGGGAAATCCAAAACAGATTTACTTTTTTAGCGAATTTCCCTATAGGGAAGTAGTTATTACCGTAGGTGGCACGGTAAGACCTAGGCCCGGGACCGATTTAATTTTTAATTTTGATCTCCCCAGAGGGCAAAAACACCATTCGTTTAAATTTTTTATATATGTATATATATATGTACCTTAGTACCCTAGAAACATTTTATTTAAAATAAAATGTTTCTAGGGTACTGTGGTATTTTGATTTGCTTAATAACATTTAAAGTAGCCCTCATTGATGTATACAATAACAAAATATATGTACCTATATAGATTTATATTTATATATATATATATACTGTATATATACGTCCGTAAACGCGATAACTTGAGTAATTTTTGTTCGATTTTGATTAAATTTGGTTTAGAGGTATAAGGCAGGATAAACTTGAATGAGTTCGCGAACTAGTAGGATCGGACCATGGGAACGGGGTTTTATGGGGTACAAATTGGTTTTTCTCATTTTTGACCCTCAAAACACAAAATTTCCCAATTTCTCTCTAGACGCTTTTAAAGAGCTTAAAAAAACAAATAATTTAGTATATAAAAGTATTTTTGTTCGATTATTAGTAACGGAGAAAATTTAAAAAATTGTAAATTTAAAATTCCCATGTTATTCTTATGGAGAATATTGTCAAATGTTCTAGTTTGCTTGTTTATGGATACATTTTGATCAAACTTGGCAAATTTATTTATTTTGTACTACGCTATCAATATTTTACTCAAAAACACACTTTATTAGTTTCCTTGTAGCAGCAAACCTAGGTACACATTCAACCTAATGTTATTTAAATAGGTTTAATTAAAAATCAATTCACACGAATGGAAATTCGCTTAGTCGGCAGGTTTGCTGCGGCGGGGTATTTTACATATAATTTAACTTTATTCATTGTTAAATAAACCTAAGGTAAATCCAGTATACACCACAATGCATACAGCCTATTTGCCTGATAATACTTTATTCTGGATTATAATAAGTAATAAATAAATGTTATTGAGAGTATTCAGAGATTTCCCTCTTCTATTAGGAGTACCTATTATATATTTCTAGTGCACCTGTTGCTTGAATTCGAGCAATTGCAAAGTATTACAGGCGTTATTTCAAAACAAATAACAGTAAAAATTTCCGATGACTTAAAAGAGTCAACTAAGATAATCACTCCACTCCCAGTTATCAAAACTGATAACAAACTCATTCTGAAAACGAAGTTCTTGTATGTATCATGTGTTTATTATGAACAGCTGTAATTAATACAAATTATTCGCCTGTTTAGTAAACAAAACATTTTCTTCGTAAGAAATACATCAGGGATTTTGATGGCCTGTGGGGCAAAGCCCGAGGACTTTTATTAAAGGAATTGGTGAAAGGGGGCGTCTTAACAAAAAATACTTAATTTTGACACATCGTTTGTAAAAATCTGTCCATTATTAACGGTAGTGTTTCGTAAAAATCGCCTTCACGTGTGTTATATATAAGGATATAAAATGTATATATGTAGGAATGCAGAGAGATTCATTTAAAGAAATAATTCGTAATACCTAAGAAAATCAATACTGTAGCTAGGAACGCGGCTGATGACGGCGTACATTTGAACACCTTCAATCTGAGAGATCATAGTTCATACTTTTGGATCACCCGATCTGACATATTGTTTTTTTGGGTCAACCGACCCAACTATGATCGAATGATCCAGAGTGAAATAGACAGCTAGTCTATTTTATAAGTTTACTTCACGAAGTAAAATTGTACTTCTGGTTATAACTGTACTTTTGGATTAGATCCATTTTGGATCAACCGATCGGCAATATAAACTTTGGATCATCCAATTTTAGATCATGTGAAATACTCCCCACTCAATAACACAAATTAAAAAAGTGTTTCTATATATTTTACATTCAGGACCATGCCTTTCATTAATAAAACCATCCAGTTGTTTTAATCACCAACCAGTTTGTATTAATAACCAGAGTCAACATGTGGACAGAGTTGAATTTCTTCTTGGCCATTAGCCAAGTAACTATGGCCTCTTATCTCAACTGATAACATTGACCTGCCAAACTCTTGGACTGCTGGATCAGTGTTTGCAAAATAACCTAAAACTGCAATTGCCTTTACACTCACACTTGTAGTAAATAGCATGATAACAAAGAATTGTTTAGTAAACCGGTTAGACTGGATGAAAGTTTAATTGGCCAATAATGCTGCCTCTGGGGAAAACCCCTGAGACTATAACCAAGGCCGCTGCCAGTTGACTTTGTACATAAATTTTTCCAATTAGTTTGCCGATAGCCTTTGTAATAAGAGCGGTAGGAGTTATTTTGATATTTTATGGGTTAAAACATAAAAAATTCAATTAGAGAGTACTTTTTACAACATTAGGGTTTGTAACATTTTCTTAAAGTTAAAAGCACAATAACCATTCTAATCAAAAACGTTCTAGCCTTTTTTGTGGAGATCCAATTTTTCTGTTATTTTATGGAAAAATCACCATTATAAATCAAAATTTAAAAAACATAAAGCGCTTGAGCCTGGGGATACCATGGGTTAGTACCGATATACCAAATTTAATTAAAATATTATCACAGGTGTAGTCTATAGTTTTGCACTTGCACACACACGCACTCACACCAACCATACACATAACTTCGAAAACCACTTTTTAGGGTCCAAAAAGGATATTTCCTCCCAAAACTTAAACTTTTTTTTACAAAAACAGTAGACATAGCCTACTTTCTCTGTATACAACTTATACGATTGAAAAGTAAAAATTTCAAAACATTGGTATCATGTAAAAAAGATGATTACTGTGAAGTAAGTTTTTATTACAACTTAAAATCCACACATTGAAGAGATTTCTATTATTTTGTCATATGTATTTAGATCTGGCTAGGCATTTGTAGCTGACTACTGATATATTAATTTTTTGTCTTGTATAGTAGATCTGAAAACTAGTAGCCTACAGACAGTTGACCTTCAGAATCTATCTCTCTATCTGATGAACAGCATTTATTTGTGAAAACAATGGGGTTTAAATCACTATGATGACATCATTTTTTTATGAAGGCCACGAGGCACTTTCTGCTCAAATGGAAAGACCAATCCATTATAAATATACACTAACAAGACTACAAGATCGCGCCACTCATCCTACACTCATCTCCATTCATACTTGGCTTAAAATACCTACATTGTATGGTCGCCATTTCATAAGAAAGTATTAAAGTATTGTTGTACATATAAACATTTAAATTAAAAATCATATGTTTAAATACTCAGTTTTAACCTACTTCAATTTTTGGGAAAGGTCTTATTCAATCAAAATTATGAACGTTTTGATAGCTACTTAGGGTACGAGTATAATTATGTTTGTTAGATGATGATTATTTCGCAAGTTATTAATAAATCATATCATTGTTAGCTAATTACAAAACTTGTTGTTCCCCATGTTAATTGTTAAATTCTTATATTGTTGTTTGATTGTAGTGTAAGATTTGAAATTTTTTTATATATTAAGTCATTTTTTAGTCTTCTACCTTTATGTACGACATGTATAAGCCTGAAATGTATTGTGTTGCCATCTTTGTATGCATATGTAAGATGGAATTTTCCGTAAATAAATACAAATACTAGGAAAGATGGGACGAGCTTTCTCATGTTGTTCCATTATTGTTGCCTTATTTATTTTGTATTATCAACAACTTTACAATAAGTAACATCTAATGTAAACAATTAATTTTATTATTTGTTGTTTGAATAGTCTCTATTACATAATAATATATTATACTACCTAAATAAATCCATAATTATAATTTTTTATATGATTCTTATAAGCTTTTGTAATAAAAAATACGTATTCCCCGGTTAGTTTTTAAACAGTTCCATATTCAATTTCCATTGCACAATATCTGTAGATTATTCTAGTTTGGTGCATGAGCATGACAAATCATGTAATTGTACTTTTGACACAGCTTGTTTGTTCTGTGCATCTGGCAATTACCGACATGATTCTGTACTTTACTGCAAACTGCAAAGAACCAGGAACTAACCAGCAAAATAACCACGTACTACCAGTTACCACGTCACTAGCCAGTTACAGGTTGAGCAACACTCGACAAAATGCACTGTTTGTAAACTTAGATTTTTAAGAAATCATTTCGAATGCTTTTACCAAAATTACATTGGCAAAACTTAAATTAAAGTTTCCTGTTATTGGGAACAACGTTGAAGCATTTTTACTGCATTTATCTATCATAAAATAAAAATGTATAAGAGTACTTTTGATTGGGAGGGGTGGTTACACTGCAGAGCTGTTCCACTGAATGCTCATCCTCCCTCTTTTCACGGTCGTCATATAAAAACAACTAGCCTCTTCATTTCTTCATTGTCATCCGCTTCTCCTTTCAAGGCTCGTCTCGGTGTCGTCGCTGTACAATTTCTGTGGGATTTTCTCATTTTGAGTAGGCCTACTACCTCATATTATCGTAAGTAGATTAAGCTTAATGTTTCTTTTTACTTTTAAAAGGATAAACTGAGTCTTTTCTCTTTGTCTTTAATATTATTCATCAAAAGTTCATGTTGTTACTTGTTCTGAGATACCTAATTTCTTGATGACTCGTGTTTAGAAGCAGCCTATTTTTTTACTAAGTTTGGGTACAGTTTCTTAACTGGGCTATGCTAATATCGATTGAAACTATCGAATTGAAAATATTGATTAATAAACGATATTTTTAAATATTTCTATTATAAAATTAAACTATCATAACCTTACCTAACCAACCAAACTTGCTGATGGTGAAAAAATCGCATGAAGGTTTACTAATCGAATCAATAGTTTCAATCGATATAGCATAGCCCTGTTAAGAAACTGTACCCCTAAGGTTATTGCTTCTAGCCTAAGTTTACGCCTACACTAACCTTATCAAAAAAGTGTGAACATCCTATAGGCCTATAAGTTATGATTCTATGGTTCAAAAACTTGCATAGTCTAACTTTTAACATAAGTATGGTACCTAACTTAAGTTATTACGGTAAAAAACACTTTTTACCACGAATACTTACTTAGAAAAGACTTATTATTTTTTAGGTAGGCCTACCTTCTCCGTAGGTAGCAGCAAACCTCGTTAAGACCTAAATCTTATACCTAATAAAGTTTAACCTATTTATTTGAGGAATAACTTAGCCTAAATAACTTACCTAGGCCTAGGCTAAAATGTCTTGTTTATGGAAATATTTTAGACCTTCAAAAGGAGTAACTTAAGTTATTTTTCACACTTTCATGACTATCTCAGAAAGGATGACTAGACGTTTTTGGATATTACCGGATGTCAAAACGTTCTTTTGATGAACATTTAGTGCTAAAAACAATAACTTAGAACTTGAGTTAATTTATCCGTATCCCACAAGAATGTGTATTTAATTTCAGCTAACGAGAGGCTAAGTTAACTTACTTGAGTTCAGCTAGGATCACCTTAAGTTTAAGTTCATGTTCCCCTAATATTAATGTTTAATAACCTAGGCTAGGACGTCAGTTCTAGCCAGGAACTGTTTTACACATTACTTCAGAGGCTAGTAACTGGAGATTGGAGTGCCAGTCGCGGCGACTGTCGTGTCTCGTGTGCCTCACCATAGTGATGGGATATGTACTCAAAAGAAAACTATTCCTTATTCGATAACTTAGTTGTGTTGTCTAAGTATTCGTTAATCAATAGCAGCTAGAGACGTTTCAATAACTTAGTTTTTTTCGAATGGATTTTGATTTTGGTTTAAAGTTAAAGAGTTTGTACGTAAAGTAACTAGGCCTATCGCTATGAGCTATTAGTGTTCGATTCTTTCGAATAATTGTATTCAAACACTACTTTGAATAGATTTTTCTACTAGTTTAACGAATTATTAAGTAAGCAAACTAAGTACTTAACGCATCATCACAGTCAGCTATTTGTTTGTTTCGTTCGGATGAATTTTATTCAATCACTTTTTTCAACAGATTTTTCTACTCTGTTTTTAAAGAAATTCAGTAGGCTAGTCATAAGACTGTGTGTAACTTAACTTAATCAATTTTTTTTGTTTTAGCGACTTTCCCATGTAGGGAATATTAGTGAATTTCCCATAAGATATATGGAATATTTGTGAATTTCCCATATATTAGGTAATATTAGCAAATTTCCCATATAGGGAATAAGCTATTATCGTAGTACTTACTCATGGTAAGACCTAGTCCCGGGACCGACTGAATTTTCCTTTTGAGGTCCCTAGAGGCCAAAAACACCATCCATTCAAATTCATATATATATGTGTGTGTGTATATATTTATATATAGGTATATATATATATGTCCGTTAGTGCGATAAGTTAACTCGAGCAAAAATGAGCAAGTGTAAACCTACCGGTACGTTTATTCGAACGAGTTCGCGAACCAGCATAATTGGACCATGGGAACGGGGGTTTAACTTACCGGTTTTATGGGGAAAATGAGTTTTCCCATTTTTGACCCTAAAATCAAAAAATTTGGCAATTTCTTTTTAAACCGTTTTGTAGAGCTTAAAAAAGAAATAAGTTAAGTTAGTATAATTGAAGCGCTGTTGTATGTCTAACGGTCACGGAGAAAATAAAAAAAATAGAGCAATTTAAAATTCCCATGTTATTCTTATGGAGAAAATGAAAACTGTTCTATGTAGTTTACTTGTTTGTGGATAGGCTATATAAGCTTATGTGATAAAATTTGACAAATTTATTTATTTTATCCTAATACTATTGACGTATGGTCAAAAAACACTTTTTACCTTCCCCGTAGCAGCAAACCTAAGCACTCGTTAAATCTAATGTTGTATAGGTACTTTCCTGTACATATCGTAATTGTCAGCTGATATGTTTCAATTTGTATTTGAAACAGGATTCCAGGATGGGGTAATGTTAACATCGATATATCGAGACAAAAATCATCGATAATATTGAATGTTCCCTTTAACAGGAAAGTACCGTTATATTAATTGGGAATAAATATGTCTTAGTTATGAAGTTGAAATTCGCTCAGTCTGCAGGTTTGCTGCGGCGGGGGTATATTAATACATTCTTTGAATATAAGTTAGGAAGTTAGGATACTTGCCTGCAATTTACCTTGTTCCTTATTAAAAAAAAAAAAAAAAAAAATAATGTGATCATGTAAAGAAACTCAGTTCTAGAATTTCATTCCTTTAATAACCATATTGACAGGTATAATTCATTTTAATAGATAGTATAACTTATATTATTTCTATAAGCTATTTAACGTTAGTGTAATACAGTAGTAACTTTTTTAGTGTATTATTTCTAGGAATATGAATAAAACTTAGCTAGCTGTTTACTTCTTATTCGTGTTCAAATAAATTTTTGGAATAATTATTCAAAAAACTATTTGATAGTCCCATTAATAAGTACCTCACCACCACAATAGCATCACTTAATAAATAAACTCCATATGATAATGTGGCCTGCTAAAAGTGGCCTTTGAGCAGTCGCGGTCGTGAGCCACTCGAGTGGCCAAACATGCAGGCTTTTATAGTCTCCAGGTTTGCTGCGGCGGGGGTATTTTATAAATCTGATACTAGCCTAGTAAATCACCTTTTTGTTTGTCAAAATTTAAGAAATGTCAGTTAACTTTTAGAAACATTTGTTACTAACTTATATTAATTTGACTTAACTCTCTCCCACACACGCACGCTCCACAGTATAGGTAATAACTTACATATGTTTTGTGTGTCTTTATTGTAGAGCTAATCCTGGGGTTGTGCTATTATTGTATCAGTGGAGCAAAAAACAAAAAACTTAACTTATCCTTAAGCACAAAAATACAGACCGTACAATGCAGACCCTTAATATTGGTTGCGTTAAGGCAGGACAATAACTAGGCGGTTAAGTTGACGCCCAAATATTTTTGTGCCTGGGTGTCACCTGATAAAGGACATAAGGCCTACGTTGCTTTGATTAACTTAGACATTCACATTGCCAGCAAACACAAGAGCGAGTAGTTTCCTTTCTTTTTTCTTCTAGCTTCAATCCCACAAAAGTGTAAATATTTGCAGGGTTTAACATTCATCCTAGTTGATGAGAAAAAATCGTGTTCCATTTGTAGGACACATTATAACTTATCTACAAGTAATGTAGGCTACCGGTAGTTGTAGTTGAAGTCAGTCAATTTAATAAATTAAGTTTACAGTAATCTTCCTTATTATCATGTCCTACAAGATGAGATGGGGCAGATAGTGGTGACCATTGACCATTACAATAGGAGAAGGGGGCAAACTTAAAAAGCTTGAGGTTATATTGCCATAGCCTATGTAAAAACATAACATTAGTTACGGTCATTTATTATTATGTCTCTTAAAAGTGAGGGGATGATCGGACCCTAACACCTCCTTGTCATATCCTTTTGCCACCACTATTAGATGGAGCCCTGAAATAAATATTTTTTCATTGATTAATAAATAAGGACTTTTATGTCATCGATGTTTTCTCATGGAATCTGTGTTCCTTAATTAGTGATATAAATTTAGTAAGGTAGTTAAATAAATTTAAGTGCTACTCCACTTACAAAATAAATAGTCTAAACTCATTTAGGCCTAATAATTGTTGCACCAGGCCTAATTACGGCAAGCTTGTAACTTAGATCTACAGTTACTTATTCCCTTTGTTCAAATAATGATTAACTTAACCCTTTGTCTGTGACACCACGGATCTTTCCTCCGGAAAAAAAAAACTTCATGTGTCAACGATCGTGCTGTTTATGTTTGCTATGTATTTTATAAATATACAAAGTAAGAGTTTTTATTGATTTTATGTACATTTATTGATTAGAAATGGCTTAAATACATTTTTGTATTATTATATGTACAAAACACAGTGTTTGTCTAATTTTCAACACCCGGAAAAAAACTCTGTGCGTCACCTTCATGTTTTAACATCAAAGACCCCGACGAAGGGTTAACTGAAGTTTTTATAACATTTAGGATTTAAGAAAAAAATATTCTATTTTTTAGATTTAAAATGGGCTTCTTGGCTTGGGCTGCAGTGACAGTTATTGGTGCAGGTGTAACCACAGTTGCACCATTTCTGGCACCCGCCGTGTTGCCGGCAATTGGTTTTGGAGCCGCAGGACCTGTAGCTGGCACCCTTGCTACAGCTGCCCAAGCATATGTCGGTAACGTAGCGGCTGGATCTGTATTTGCTGCTTGCCAGACAGCGGCAATGGCGGCCCCAACTCTATAGAGGGTAAGTTACTAATTATGTAACTTCAGTGTGTCTATTTTGTATTGTTTTATCGTTCAAACAAATGTTAAACCAGCATCAAGCTAGGTTCTGCCCTTGAGTACCAACCTAATAAATAAATAGCTGAGTAGCAGGTTGAGTGAAGTTTGAGTGACGTTTGGCTACCATTTCTAATGTGTAACAGCTATCCATCTTCCGGACAAAATACTATTCAATTGAATACTTTAACTGAATTCAGTTGAATAGTAAGTTGCTTCAAAGATAGATAGCTGCAATGCATCCAAAATGTCAGCCTCTAGTCAAGCTTATTCAATGACGTGATCATCAGCCAAAAATACTTTGAATTCAATTGAATAATAAGTTTCTTCAAAGATGGATGGCTGTTATGCATCCAAAACTTCAGCCTCTATTTAAGCATCAAGGACGTGGTCACCACCTGAAGACCTAGATTTGAAAATCTACCGAGACCGTGGGAGCATATCATCTAGTGCTCCATATAAAGATTGCCAGTTTTATACAAAACGTAGTATTTTTTTATGGTTCAAACCGGACAGTTAACCCTTTACATGATTGGATTTTTAATAAATCAAGGAACATAATATTCTTACATTTCCCTTCCATATACATTCTCAGTTGTCCGATGTTTCAAAAATAAATTATTATCTTTTCAATCGCAATACCATCCAATGCTCTCAGGCACAATATTAACAATAAGCACACAGGACAAAATTCCTTGAAAGAAATATTTTAAAACAGTACAGTTGCCTATAAGCTATAAGTAAGTTCTGAAACTTAAAAAAGTGGAGCAACACACCAAGAAATTTGGGAGAGCGGTGAAACGCTTACTAGTAGAACAAGCTCCCTAAAAAAGCGAGATCTATAACAAAATTTTAAGTTGCCAATCAAGTTAAGATAGGATGCTCTTCTTTTGAATTTTTGTAGTTATACTATTTAAAGTTTTGTTTTATTTAAATTCTAGGTAAACCTTGTGACACTATTATACAGATTTTCTGTGCAAAATAAAGATGATTTGATTTGACTTGGTTAAAAAGCCTAGCGATTCAGTACAGTGCAGAGAAAACATTAAATGGTTCATTTAAGTGGTGTCTAGCATTAGTTACTGGTGTCTATGGGAAAAGTCCAACATTGCTCCAAAGCTACAACTACAATGCTCAAAGTGGAGGAAGACCCCGTGCCATTTGTTTGGGCTCTTCCTTGCTCGTCAGAAGTATATTTCCGTTCAACACAAGAGCTGAAAGCACACTGTCATCCCATTAACAAATTTTGTCTATACCTTGCTTAACATATGAAAATGTATCTTTCTGAATTGTAAGACTTGTAATAATAATAAACATTTTTTTTTGTACGGTTGTAATAAAAATCTCTTAAAGAATACAAGACCGCACCATGCGCCCAGACTAAATGTGACTACTGTAACTTCATTATTTTTTGTGGTGTTTCCGGACCAATTGATTGACAAATAAATAAAAGGTTAAAATATCTGATTGTTGCCTTGTGGTCCAAAGTATTGTCCTAGTGGATTACAGGATTATCTTCATTTCGGCGTGAGCACCATTGTCGGATAGTTCTTACACGGATCCGATGATGGCGCTCGCGCCGATATGTACATAATCCTGTAATCCACTAGGACAATACTTTGGACCACAAGGCGACAATCAGGTTTTTCAACATTTTATATATTTGACTATTGTAATTCTTTTAGGTTTTGTAAGAAACAATCTATTCATTTTAAATAGGCTATTAGTTTTAGTACGATTTGTTTTTTTTTTTAACTTAAACAAGATCTTATGTTTCAGGTTCAGGGAGCCCATTGTGCCAATGTAAGCTTCAACACTTTTTCTTCAGTACAGTATTAATTACTTGAATTTTGACATATGAAAATGTATCTTTCTGAATTGTAAGACTTATAATATTAATAAACATTTTTTTGTACGGTTGTAATAAAAATCTCTTAAAGGTAATTGTTTATTTCTTTTCCGATAAATTTCTTACCCTTATGGTATTTATATAGGTAGCCTACAGTTCTTGACCCAGTATAGTTACTCAGTTATCTGACCTGAGGTCTGAAGGTAGCATGGTCAGAAAAATGGCTCTAAAAATTCAGTGTTGTGACAATAATAAAACCATTTTTCACTCATACTGCAACAAAAACAGCCCTAGAGAGTAAAAAGTATGTATTGATTGTTTTAATCGGTTGTAGCTTATTATTTCATTCTTGTCAATAGTTCAACATATCTATTGTATAATGTACTAACACAATTCGTTACTAAACCTCACCTTTCTGTTCAAATAATGGTGCAATGAGAAATCGATTGGAGTTGGTCACAAGGCTGGGAAAAATCTAGTTTCCGTCCTACAGCCCTTATATGAACTGTTGAAGAAAACCTAGCTAACATATCATTTTAAGTTTGTTTGATCATGTATAGGGTGGGTAAGTGCACCAGTGAATGCCTGTTGTGTATAAAAACATAACTTAACTTTTGGTTGTCTAGGTATATCACAGTTTTAAAAGTTACTTCGGAGTCTTAACATTGGAATCTACCTTGTCACTGCTCCAAAAATAAGTGTCGATCATCCTTTTGCAACAAACAACATAGCAATCTGCCGAGGAAATTATTGAGATACTAGATGACCCGTGCTGCTCCGCAGCATTGAAATTAATAATAAAAAAATAAAATACTAAACTTAATAAGGGCGGTACAACTTTAATTAAACTCTTATAGGGCTGCTGGATTAATTTCGCCTTATGACCAAATTAAAGTATAACACATTCCATATAACACAGAGAAAATCGTCCCGATGTATTTTTTTCCGTTTTGAAAATCAATTAATCCAGAACAATATCCACACACTTCCTAAAAGCACCTACAGAGAAAGCACGTACATTTGTTAACTCATATGTAACACAGCGTGAATGAGGCTTTAATAAGAATGTTTTATTAACAACAATATTTCTTGTAAAATAGACATCTCTGTCGGTAGAATTGCATGTACGCATATTCTCAGGAGTATTTCCCTCCATCTGGTAATCTTTATTAATATTACGACTTTTATAATACTTCCTTCCAAACAATGTTTGCTGTTCGTCCACCTTTTGATTTAGTTTCTACTTTTACAGTATCGAAAGATTTCCCTCTCGATAAGGCGACGTACAACTGACAGTGACTAAATACTGGTTCAGGCAAGTACACACCAACTCGATCAATCGTTTGGCCCTGCGCCTTGTTGATGGTCATGCAGAACGCAACCTTTATGGGGAATTGTCTTCGTTTGAAAGAAAATGGTACTGTAGAATCTGATGGAGAGAGATCAATGCGGGGTAATAGTGCACGTTGTCCAATATTTGTGCCAGTTATGATTTCTAAGTCTAAACTGTTTTCATACATTTTCTTGACAATAATTCTTGTTCCGTTTAGAAGACCTGCTGTGTAGTTTATTTATTTTCATATAAGAACCTTCGGTAAAATTCCGGCATCATTTGTGTAATTAATTATGATTATTAAGATTGGCATAGTGCTGAATCACAAACAAACCAAATGGATCCAAAATAGAATTACCTCAACAGTACCTGTTGATTTTGACGGGTTTAACCTTGTATTTTTTATTTTTTTTTTTTTTTGTATTTTGTATATTGTATCTTAAACCGATGCTTGTTGTGAAATCTGGACATGCATAACTTCAATTTGAAAATTCAATCATGAAAATTGGTCGAGTAGAAGAGCCAAACGAACTGGGAAATGAAAAACTAAATTTAACTACCAATAGAGCAAATTTATTTTACGGGAAAAGAGAAACAAAATTTAACTTCTATAAGAAATACATGGAGAGGAAATTTTTTGTACGTATAAACCAAGTGGAGTTATAGATAAATATTTGCCGATGCTTGATGGAAAATCTGTGCGTGCATACCTTCAATTCGAGACCTCAATCATGAAAATCGGTCGGGTAGATGAGCCAAACGAACTCGGCAAAGAGAAACAAAATTTAACTCCCATAAGAAATACATGGGGAGCAAATTTCGTTTACGTAGAAATCGCGTGGAATTATAGATACGTTGATGCCGATGCTTGATGGCAAATCTGTACGTGCATACCTTCAATTCGAGACCTCAATCATGAAAATCGGTCGGGTAGAAGAGCCAAACGAACTCGGCAAAGAAACCCAAAATTTAACTCCCATAAGAAATACATGGGGAACAAATTTCGTTTACGTATAATCCACGTGGGATTATAGATACATTTATGCCGATGCTTGATGGCAAATCTGTGCGTGCATAACTTCAATTTGAGACCTCAATCATGAAAATCGGTCGGGTAGAAGAGCCAATCGAACTCGGCAAAGATAAACCAAATTTAACTCCCATAAGAATAACATGGGGAGCAAATTTCTTTTACGTATAAGCCGAGTAGGATTATAGATAAATATATCCCGATGCTTGATGGCAAGTCTGAGCGTGCATACCTTCAATTTGAGACCTCAATCATGAAAATCGGTCGGGTAGAAGAGCCAAACGAACTCGGAAAAGAGAAACAAAATTTAACTCCCATAAGAAATACATGGGGAGCAAATTTCGTTTACGTAGAAATCGCGTGGAATTATAGATACGTTGATGCCGATGCTTGATGGCAAATCTGTACGTGCATACCTTCAATTCCAGACCTCAATCATGAAAATCGGTCGGGTAGAAGAGCCAAACGAACTCGGCAAAGAAACCCAAAATTTAACTCCCATAAGAAATACATGGGGAACAAATTTCGTTTACGTATAATCCGCGTGGGATTATAGATACATTTATGCCGATGCTTGATGGCAAATCTGTGCGTGCATAACTTCAATTTGAGACCTCAATCATGAAAATCGGTCGGGTAGAAGAGCCAATCGAACTCGGCAAAGATAAACCAAATTTAACTCCCATAAGAATAACATGGGGAGCAAATTTCTTTTACTTATAAGCCGAGTAGGATTATAGATAAATATATCCCGATGCTTGATGGCAAATCTGTGCGTGCATACCTTTAATTTGAGACCTCAATCATGAAAATCGGTCGGGTAGAAGAGCCAATCGAACTCGGCAAAGATAAACCAAATTTAACTCCCATAAGAATAACATGGGGAGCAAATTTCTTTTACGTATAAGCCGAGTAGGATTATAGATAAATATATCCCGATGCTTGATGGCAAGTCTGAGCGTGCATACCTTCAATTTGAGACCTCAATCATGAAAATCGGTCGGGTAGAAGAGCCAAACGAACTCGGAAAAGAAAAACCAAATTTTTTTAATATATAAGATAATAACAATATGTTTATTGGACCTAACCTGATTCAACTTGCATTTAAGGGGTTTTACAGTTAGTTCCTTTAATCAAAAAGGTATTTTGTGTTTAATTAATTTGACTGAGCAAGGATTACAAATAAATAACCCTTCAAAAATTCATACAAAAATTGACAAAAAAGTAAAAGGTAAGAAATTTGAAACTTCATACCTTACAAACCTACTAAAAAGTAGAATCTTTTCATTAACAAAACGTAACCTACATATACACCAGGACAGGACCATTTTTGCTTATTAAGTCAACATCTCTTTACATTGTCTTTACATTGTTTCAATACTTGTTTTTTTGTCCTTTTTCAAACATTTGGACTTGTTTAATGACCTAGCTTAGGTATAACATTTCTTTGAAATATCTATGGATTATTTTATACGTTACCTAGATACCAAAAAAACATAACATTGTCAACAATTGTAAATTGTCTGTTGTCAAAGTCTGCTACTAAAAGTGACCTATAATTCTATTAGCTACAGTTAAGTAATTGTCATTTACTTGGTTATTCATGACTCGCAGTTCAGTGAAAAATTATTCAGTAAAATCTGTACATACTAAACCTTTATGTTTTTAGAGTATAACTTGCATAGTGTTACGTACTTATTGAATTAAATAATTATAACACATAATTGTAAAAGCCCCGTTCACACCGGGCGAGTTTACAAGCTACACGCAGGCTTTTTTACACTCAGCTAGTAAAATAGCTCAGTGTGATTGACGTACTCGCTCAAAAGCTGCTTGTAAAAAGGCTCTGGAAAAAGTTGACGATGCCGCTACTTTACATGCCAACTCGCCAGCTTTTGAGCGAGTAGGCGTGTAAAGTAGCCCAGTGTGAACTCAGTTGCTTGTGCTTGTGCGCATGTTATTCGAAGATGTCGGAGGATTCAGTTCAAGCTAGCTACTGAGCGTGTGAACGAGGCTTAAGAACTAAAAAATAATGTCTTGTTTTTATTAATTTCTCAATCTTAGAATTGTAAATATTACATCAGCTGTAAATAGGAATAAAATTAATTAATGAGTCCAGACTAACAGATATAATAATGTGGGTGAATAAAAAGTCAAGACCCCCCCCCCCATCTAATAATTTTCCAAGTCAATATACAGAGATATCCTTTTGGTGGTCGTGCAATCTTAGCAGGAAGTTTCATTTTATGATTTTGAAATTTTGGATTGTCCCCCCAAGAGGGGGGATTTGGGGGGCAACTCAAATACTTTAAATGTAAACCCCCCTCAAGTGACACCTCATTTTGAAGTGTTTACAAAAACTTAAAGAATGGTGAAAACTAGAGATCGCTATCTCTTCTCTATTCAAAATGGTAGCCCGTCAAATGTTGTGGAAAATCAATGGTAAAATTAATTCGTAATGGTAATATTGGCTACAATTTTGGCTAGAGAAGAGATAGCAAACTCTGGTTTTCACCATTCTTTAAGTTTTTGTAAACACTTCAAAACAAAGTGTCACTAAATGGGAGTTTACATTTAAAATTTTTGACTGTCCCCCCAAAAGGGGATTTGGGGGGCAACAAAAACTTTTCAATGTAAACCCCCATCAAGTGACACCTCATTTTGAAGTGTTTACAAAAACTTAAAGAATGGTGAAAACCAGAGTTCGCTATCTCTCTTCTATCCAAAATGGT